GGGGGGGGGAAGGGGCACTGCTCGCGAGAAGCGCCGTGGCCCCCGCCGGGACCGGGTCGCACTGGGAGCTTCTCCCCCGCGGGCCGCCGCTCCGCAGCGCCCGGCCCAAGGAGGCCAGGCCGCGGCGAGGGGCCGGGGGCCTCGCACCGCCCCCCGCCGGGCCCTGCGCGCCGCTGCCCCCCGCCCGAAGCGGCGCTTGGAGGCGCGGGGAGGGGGGCGGACCGCGAGGCGGCGGCAGCGGCGGTGGCGGAGCTCCCGCCGCGCCGCCCTGCGCCGCCGCCCGCGGGGAGCCGGGGGGAGCCCGGGGGAACCCGGCGCCCCGGCACCCGCCGCGGCTCGCCCCGCTCCTATTGACTTCCCATTGTGGAGCTTTGCAACAAAGGGTAGGATCCAAACCGTGCCTTGTTTCCTCCAATCAGCGTGCAGAGCGCCCACTCGCCGCTCATTGGCTCCTTCGTGCCTCACAGTACCCAATCAGGAGGCTGTTTTAACAACCAATCAGCGGGCGGGCACGCGCCCAATCAGCGCCGAGGAAACGGAGCACGGCCTTTGTGTCGTGTGACGCCACGGCGCCGGCGGAGGTTCCTGCCAATAGAAGGGCGCGCTGTTTCCAGGCATTGTGAGGTCACCGCGCTGTGTGCCGCCCCCGCTATAAAACACGGGTCCCCGCGGCGGGGAGGGCGCAGTGAGGGGGTGACCGGTTGCGGATTAGGTTGTGCTAGGAGGAGCGCAGGCTTCGGCGCGCAGGGAGACCGGCACTGCTGCTTCCTTTTTCTCCGAGGGGTGAGTGGCGGCTGCTGGGCGCGATGGGCAGCAGTGCTACGCGGTCTTTGGCTTTCTCCTACCTCCTCCTTTGGTGGACGGGTCGGGCCTTGCCTACGTGCCGGGAGTCACGGCTGCTTCCCCCTCCCCCCCTTCCCCTTCGGGGCGGCCTGAGAGGAAGAGGAGGCGGCGTGACTCAATCCACTTCCCCTGGGGAGGGGAGCGGCGGCGACATGGAGCGGGGGTGTGTGGGGGGGGCAGTGACTCCTCCTTCCTCCCGGGGGAGGCCGCTGGCTGCTTGCCCACCTCGACGGCGGGGAAAGGGGAGGGGGGGGCAGCCCGCCGGCATCTGCCGCCTCTGTGGCTTGAGGGGATTGGGGTGGGGGAAGGGAGCCGGATCCCGGTGGCCAGGTCGGGTCTGGCGATGGCTCTGCTCGCGAGCGTCGGGTGAGCAGGGCCCTGTGTCACGCTTGGCTGTCTGCCTAGATAAGTGAAGAAAAATGGCCCGTACAAAGCAGACCGCCCGCAAGTCCACCGGGGGGAAGGCTCCGCGTAAGCAGCTGGCCACCAAGGCGGCCCGGAAGAGCGCCCCCTCTACTGGTGGCGTCAAGAAGCCTCATCGCTACAGGTAAGGCCGCCGCGACGGCCCGGCCCGGCCCTCTGCGGTGCCGCCCCCAGCCAGCTCACGCAGCTCCCTCCTCCTTCCTCCCAGGCCGGGTACCGTGGCGCTCCGTGAGATCCGTCGTTACCAAAAGTCCACGGAGCTGCTGATCCGCAAGCTGCCCTTCCAGCGGCTGGTCAGGGAAATCGCCCAGGACTTCAAAACAGACTTGAGGTTCCAGAGCGCAGCCATCGGTGCACTGCAGGTATTGCCGGCAGCCCCGCCGGGCCCCTGATGGTCGCGGCTGCCAGTGAGCCTCGCTGAAGGTTGCTAATGACGTTTCTTCTTGTGCTCTTGAAACAGGAGGCCAGTGAAGCGTATCTGGTGGGTCTCTTTGAAGACACAAACCTGTGCGCCATCCATGCCAAGAGAGTCACCATCATGCCCAAAGATATCCAGTTGGCTCGTAGGATACGGGGGGAGAGGGCTTAAGTGAAGGCTGTTTTTATGGTGTTTTGTAGTAAATTCTGTAAAATACTTTGGTTTTAATTTGTGACTTTTTTTGTAAGAAATTGTTTATAATATGTTGCATTTGTACTTAAGTCATTCCATCTTTCACTCAGGATGAATGCTAAAAGTGACTGTTCACATAAACCTCAGTGATGTGAGCCTTGTTGCTCAGGAGTGACAAGTTGCTAATATGCAGAAGGGATGGGTGATCTTTCTTGCTTCTCATGCATGTTTCTGTATGTTAATGACTTGTTGGGTAGCTAAACTTGTAAGGTACTAGAATTGATATAAATGTGTACAGGGTCCTTTTGCAATAAAACTGGTTATGACTTGATCCAAGTGTTTAACAATTGGGGCTGTTAGTCTGACCATACATCACTGTGATCAAATGTGGACTTTTTCAGAGGGTGAAACTACAAGTCTTAACCACAGTGTAACTTACAGTTTCCTAAAAACGTAAACCTGGCAGCTATAGAATACACTATGTGCATTTATAATAGCTATTTTATATATTGTAGTGTCAACATTTTTAAATTAAATGTTTTACATTCACATGTGGGGAGTCTTTGTCCTTTGGTTTGTATGGGCTTAAGCTGCTTCCTTCTGCTCCAGTAGGTTAGCAGTAGATGCAGGAAATACTGGAATGCCACTGTGGCCACTGAGCCTGCCAGCACTGTGGAGAAGTCACTGGTGTGGTGAGGAGTGTTTCCCCACGTTGACTCATCTCAAACCATACCAGTTAGAGCAGCTCAGGCAGCCTGGGTGCACCTCCTGGTTTGGTGGGAACTGAACATAGTGACACAGGGTGGTTGTTTGGTCTTAATCAGCTACTCCCAGTAAAAGACTCTGCTAATTACACAACCTGCAAGTCTACAGGCTGCTGTGCAAAGGAGAGAGAAGGACYTGGCTGTCACCGAGGAAATCTCATWTCCTACCCAAGTTTTTTCTGACTGAACAGGATTATGCTCAGACCTTGGCTTTGGAATATTCCTTCAGGCTTTCTGCTMGAGCAGTGCTGCTTCTCAAGAGCACTTCTGGGAACAGCCCTGCTTAAGTCAGGTAAAACTGCTCAGACTACATTTGAAGTACAGATAATTACCGCTTTGCTGGACTAGCTCTCTCCCCTCCCTCAAACAGGATACACAAGTAAGGCTGAAATTGGAACAGAAGGAGCAGGGGGAAGTGGCTGAAATTAGTCCCTTTTTATTTCTATGAAATAAAAAGCTTCCTGAGGAGAAAAAAGTGASGTTTTAGGAGGTAAAAGCAGTTTGTACAAAGGAGAGTGGATAGGGTAAGTCAACCAGGGCCTTCAGTGCCATTCTTTAAAACTGGATGCATTTAAAGCACTCCTTCCACAACAATAGCCTGATAGCACTTCAATTTTTTTTTCTCCCCAAAATTCATTTTTATGGGTCAGAACCTACATCTCACTCCAAGAGAGCTGCCAGCAGGAGGGCTGTCTTTGAGGCTGGGAGCAAGGCTGGGTCAGCACCGCGTGGGGAGGAAGTCGGAGCTAGAGCCTCTGCTCTCCCTGGTCAGACAAACCACTCGGTGTGTTTAAATCCTGCAGCTGGAGGAACAAGCACTTGTTACCACTTGCTCTTAACACAATTTCCTCAGCACCCTTTCCTATCCGCTCCCAGCAGTACTGGAAGCAAACATCAAACACCACCATCACATCTGCACAGGGCTGCAGAAAAGATAGTCAGAGTCTGCATCTTGAATCATTTTTAAGCGTGTTTTCTCACTTAAAAACCCATCAGGAAAAAGAACACATTGCATCTAAATTGTAAACTAAGCGGCTTTAAGGGGCTAGATGAAAGTTAAGCAAAGATGTTACTACCGTCCTAGCAACTGTGACACACCTGAGAGCTGCTTTCACATCCTGCACAGGCCTCCACAAGTCTCTGCACTAGCTGTAAAATGTGGAGAAYACTTGGATACCTCGAAGGCACCACAGAGAAATGGAGCAGCCCAGCTAGTGCAGGGGAACCGCAAGATGCAGCTCGGCTCCTCCCGGCTACGGGGCTCCCAGCAAAGGGGCAGGCACGTCCAGCTGACAGCCAGGCCAGGGACCATCCGGCAGCAACACCGGGAACACACCGGGGTGCCAGGAGACCACGTGATTTGGAGAACGTGGACCTAATGATACTGAGGCAAGTTAAAAACAGGAATATAAGTGAGGAAATTAGATTGGTGGTTGTTTTAAACTGCCATAGCAGGCTAGGCTCTCCTTGAAAAAATATGCTTTAAAATAACATCCCTCGAAAACAAAGTTTCAAGTAGTTAGTGGAAACTATGAAACATCTGGGTATGCCTAGAAGCTGGTTCTTAAAATAAAAATCATTGTGTAGTGATTCTTAAAGGGAAAAGAAAACCACTGTATCAAAGCAGCTATTCATCTTAAAAAAAAAAAAAAAAAAAAAAAAAAAAAAAAAAAAAAAAAAAAGTTGTATCTTGCATGTGGTAGAATGGAATAGCAATTCTCAGTGTTCCAGACTTTTACTGTAATTATATCTGAAGAAATAAAGTGTTCCCTTACCAATTCTCTCGACAATTTCCTCGCATTCTTGCTCAGAAGCCGATTCAAACACTAGACAGTCAAACGTGCTCCCTTCGAGGCTCTCTGGGGAAACGCTAAATATGGAAACACGTACATTAGCAGGCAAAAACCCCACGCACTTAGCAGTGACACGGAAAGCCGGGCAGCGTCTTGTAGGCACATGAGCACCAACGTGGCTCCTTGGGGGATGCAGGAGCTTTTCTAGGATCCACAGCCCTCAAACCTCAAGTCAAGTCTCAGCCCTGCTCCACCGATCGTGCCACGTGCTTGCTAAATCTTCACTGGCAACGCGGCTGAGGGCCAGCTGTGTCGTGCCCAAAGCTCAGGGAGCAACGAGGTGGCGAGTGGAGAGCTCAGACACTGCTCAGC